GAAGGGCTGGCCTCGCCGCCACCCCCCAGGGAGCTGGGCCCCCAGCCACCTCCGTGACCGGAGAGCGCCGGGGAATGGCCAGTACTGTAGCTGAGGGAGGGGCTGGCCGTGGGCAGCCCCTGGGAGTGGGCAGCTGGCCCGGGGTAGGGCTCGCCCTGAACCCCATACAGCTGCCCCTGCAGCTGATCTGGGGAGTAGCTCTGACACGTGGCTAGGCCAGGAGGCGGGGGGCCACTGGGGGGCTGCGGGGGCCCCCCTGAGTAGCTAGGGCCTTTGCTCAAGTCCTGTGCTTGACCCCCTCCAAACCCTTGCCCATAGGCCTGGGGTCCTAGAAGCCCTTGGGGCTGTCCAGGGGAATAGGCCTGGCCCCCGGCACCACCAGCCCCAGAGGCCTTACCAGCGGCATAGGCCGCGGCTGGCCCACCCAGACTCTGGCATTTAGGCGTGGCCGTTGAACGGGGCGGTGGGGGCCTGTTCGCAGCACCCGCACCTGCTCCATAACCGCCTTTGCCTGTCTTGTAACCGGGTGACTGAATGATGGGGCGATAACCTCCACCGCCACCCGCAGCCCCGCCTCCTCCAGCCGCCTCCGGGCCCGCAGCCCGGCCCGAGGCCCCGGCCGTGGCTCCACTGGGCCCAGCCTTGCTAGGCTCGCCAGCACCGGGGGAGGGCTCCCCACCGCCCAGGGGGCTGCAGGCCAGGTTAGCCCTGTGGCCCATGGAGGAGTAGCTGCCTCCACAGCTCAGGTAGTGCTGGAGGGCGTGGGCTGGTGGCGGGGGCGGTGGGGGCTGCGCGCTGGCCGGCCGCTGGTAGTGCTTGATGACGGTGTCCTGGCGGGGCAGGGCCCGCTCGGGTGGTGGGGGGCCCGGGGCAGCACCCGAGAAGTTGTAGAGTTGTGGGGAGGACTGCTCGGCGGCAGCAGCAGCAGCAGAAGAGGAAGCCAGCAGGTTGAACTGTGTCGGAAGGTGGCGGGGGGGTGGGGGTGGGTCAGGGGGGCCGGGGCGATAAGGGGGGGTCTGGGCCGGGCCGAGACCGGCGGGCCCCAGGACACCGCTCCCCGCCAGGCGCTCGAAGCCCAGCGAGGATGGCACCGTGGGTGCCTGCGAGGGCTTCAGGTGCAACACATCATGAGGGGACAGGAGCCCGTTAGCTGGGGGACTGAATGGGGGGTCCTGGAGGCTGAGGGATGAGGGCACTGGGAAGGGGCGGCTGCCGAAGGAAGCCGGGTGCTGGTAGGCCGACAGGGCCGAGGAAGATGGAAAGGTGCTGGAACCCGGCAGGGCGCCCGAAATGAAGAGCTCCGTGGGGCCTGGCGTGTGCATAGCTAGGGATGATGGAGAAGACCACGGGTCAGGGCGGACCCCATGCCAGCCCCACCCTGGCCCTCCTGGGCCGGCACTGGGCTTACCTGTTTGCCAGGAAGGACTGCGGAACTGGGAGAGGAGAGAGGAGGCAGAGGGGCCAGGCTGGGGGCCCCGGGACTCCAGGGCCGAGATGAGGTTCATGACGGAGGCGTCGGGCCCTGCTGAGCCCGCGTGGTGGAGGCCAGTGTCGAAGAGTCCAGAGAGGCCTGGCCAAGGACAAGGGGGTTAGAGTCAGCTAAGTGGGATATAAGGCCAAGTTGAAACGGAAAAGGGAGAGGCCAAAAGTAAGTCAGGTCAGGGAAAAGGGTTGGAGAATATAAAGAGGGGGAGTCCAAGGGAATAAAATGGACACAGGCAAGCTGAGGACACAGGGCCGAGGACAACAAATGAGAAAAAGGGAGGCAATTAGCAGGATGGAGTGCAATCCAATCGTAAGGGCAGGGAGCCCAGGAAAGGTAGACAAAAGGGGGAGAAAAACCCAGAATTGAAGAAAGTGGCCACAACAGGGCAGAGTTCTTGGTGGAGGGAGAGGGAGACACAAAAGGATTTGGGCAATTCTAGCAAGGAAGGGGAAGAGATGGAATGACTGGAGCCACTTAGCAGGACCAGAGGGCAGGTCTAAAGGGGTCGAGTTCAAGTGGGAGAATCCAGAAAGAAAAAAAAAAAGAGACAGAGAGAGAGAGAGAGGAAAAGAGGGAAGGAGCCAACCAGGAAAGTTAAGGATCAAATTGGACATTGTAATCTACTTGCGGGGCCACCCAGGAAGAAGGGAACCAATCAGAATCGTTAGAGGTAGGACTATACGGGAAAGAATAAGGTGGTGGGCAGACCCAAGGAAAAAAAGGGAGGTCCAAAGACTTAGAGCCAATCAGGAAGAAAAGGAATCAGGAAGAACGAATTCAGAGTGCCAAGGAGCCAAGAGGATGGCCAAACCTAAAGGGAAAGGATTGGGGTGGGATAGACAGGAGGAAAAGCCTGGAAGAGAAGGTGGGATTTGGGGGCTGAGGGGACGGGGCCAATTGGAGCGAAAGAGGCGGGGCCAGAGACAAGGGTGGACGAATCCAGCGTGAAATTGAGCAGGGACCAGCAGCCTCAGAGGCAACCAATCAGAGGAGAGGCAGCAAGGGGCGGGCCAGGAGGCAGGACACGGCCAATTAGGAGGGGTGGAACTTTCAGCGGCCAACCAGCTGCCTGGGAGGGAGGGCCAGCCCAGGCGGGGCGGGACGGGGGCCGTACCTGCAGGGTGGTGGTTGGTGGCATAGCTTTGCAGTGGGTGGGGGGCCGCGTAGGCCTGGCGGTGTAAGATGTCGGTCTCGGGGTGCGAGGTCCTGGAGCTGCCATAGACCAAGCTGGGGGGAAGGGAGAGATGTTAGGGTGTCCTCTGAAGCTACCCTAGGAGAATGGAACTCAGCAAATCCCCCGGGGTGTAGGCGAATCTTCCAGCTGACTGGGGGTTATCCCTAAGGAACCTTGGGCCCTAAAGGAAAGAAGACCAAGGGAATCGGGGTACCCACCGAAAAGAGCCATGAAACATTCCCCACTCAAGCCCCAATAAATAGAGTCCAGATAGTCTCACGTTTACAAACAGACATGCACAACGACCAGGCAAACAGAAAAGGGTGAAGAGTCAGAGGGAAGTGCCTCAAGTTGAAAATTCGAAAGGCCTGGACCTCCCACCGAGCCCGCCAATCCTCTCGATGACACAAGGCCCTGGAGCCAACCTGAGGGGTGCACACGGACGCCCACTCTAATGCAGACACGTGGGAACACAGGGCCCTGAACCTCATAGGGTTCAGGAGGTAGATTGTTCCCCAAACGGCTTGGATGGGGGTGGGGAGGGGATAGGACTAGGGGAAAGTACCAGGTACAAGTGTGAACATGAACGACGTCCATCCCGCAGGGTTGAGGTTCAAATGCATGGCCCTTGCAAAGCCAGGTGTGTGTGCAAACGCCTATCCAGCTCACCCGTGGGGAAGGAAATACACAGAGCGAGAACTCCCAAATGGAAAATCCTAACACATGTGGGGTCATGCCCAGCCATGCTGGGAAACCCGGGGGGGCGGGGGGGAAGGGTTGGGGACAGGTGAAGAGTGAGGGCAGGACATAAACTGCTGGAAGGGGGCTGTTCTGCAGGTGAGCAGGGTGCCAACGAAGCACAAACAGGGCCCACGCTCACGCACACAACCACACACCAGGGAAACATCTGAATCTTCCCATGCAACGGCCCCAATTCACGACTCAGACTCATGAGGTCAAATACTCCACTCCTCGCCATCCACTAGGATTCTCTGCCTTTGGGGGTGGGGGAGCTAAAGGGGGCGTGTCTCAGATTCCAGGACCCCCCCCTTTACACACACAGAACCCCAGCTTAGGAAGGGGGCGGGGCCCCGTGCCCACTCTGCGCGCGGAATTTCGGGGGGGGGCCGAGTGGCGCGGCCTCGCGCAGTCCCGGAACAATAGGACGGGAGGGGGGGCGCCCCCCAGGTCTGCGTTCTAATCCTCCTTTCCATCCCACCTATGCAAGAGCAGAGCCCGGGGCGCAGGGAGGAGGTATCAGCAAGCCGGGAATCCAAAGGATGGGGGGAAATCCAGGCCTTGCTTCGCCAGTCCCTCCCACCTTCCCAGGGCCTTTCCGTCCGAAATTGTTTTGCACCCCCATTTTCCCGCTGCATCTCTCCCTTTGCATGCCGGAGCTGGCTTTGGCGGAGTTTGCAATTTGCAAACTGGGGCGGCGGCGTTGTTGCAAACCGAGGAAGGCCGCTCCCTTGCAAGCCGGAGGGGAGTTTGCGATGCACGCTTCGCCAGGCGGGCCAGGCCCGGCCGGGCTGGGCCCCCACCCCTTGGCCCCTTCCTCCAGGCCACCCTCAGCTCCTTACCTAGCTTTCGCTGACCTCTCGTAACTCCATCCCGCCCCGGCGCCGAGCGGGTCCCCGAAGCCGGCGCTGGGGTAGTTCCTGTCCATGAATTGGCCGCGGTGGAAATTGGGGGGAGGGGGAGGGAGGGAGGGAGGGAGGGGGCGCGCGCGCGCTCTCCTCCGCCGCCGCTCCCTCCGCTGCTGCTTTTTTTCCCCCTCTCTCTCTCTCTCTCTCTCTTTTTTTCTTTGCAGCCGCCGAAGGCCCGGGAAGGCCCCGGGCTGGGGAGGGAGGGGGCAGGGGCGGAGGGGCGGGCAAGGGAGGGGGTGCAGCCGCCGAGCCAAGGAGGGGGGAAGGGGGGTTCCCCCTGGAGGGAAAGGGGGGTAGGAGGGACCCCGCTGTCTCCGCCTTTGCCCCGGCGCTTGCAAGAGAGAAGGGAGGGAGCGCGCTCAGGAGGGGGCGTCCCGGGCGGCCCCGGGGTGGGTGCGGGTGCTGGGTGCTCGCTCTCTCGCCGCCGCCGCCGCCGCCTCCTCCTCCTCTGCGCTCACGGTGCAGCCATCTTTGCACAAGGCGGCTGGGGGAGGGGGGAGGGGAAGGGGGGGCGGGCGGCGGGGTGTCTGGCTGCGCTCCGCTTCCTCCCACAATCCCGTGCAAATGCAAAAAAAAAAAAAAAAAAAAGGAGAGAGAGAGAGAGAAAGATACAGAGCGCTAGCACGGCCTGGGGGTGTAGGGCGCAGTGTTTGTACAGAAAGCCAACTCGGCCGCGCGCAGACGCACCCAGGAATGCATTTCAGTTTATTTTATTTTTTTTCCGTTGTTTCACTTTTTGTCTCTTTTACAAAAGGATTTTAATTTACGAGAGCAGCACAACTCCAGTCTCCCGGTGCAATGCGAGCCTAACCCCAAAGAGCACGCTTGCAAATATGTCCCCCACCCTTTCCCTGGATTGCAGAGCGCCCGTGTGCGTGCAAGGGGAACGCACGAAAACGTGTGTGTGTGCATAAGCAGGGCTCTGCGTGTGCGTGGCCCATAGTACTGGAGGGAGATGGCCTTGTCACACCTGCTCACTCACGCGAGTCGGTACACCCGGCCCACGCGCCGGGGTCCGAGTTTCCACGCAAGCCTACCCCGAGGGCGGGGCTGGCGGGTACCCCCACAGTCAGAAGAGCGTGGGGGCCCGCGAGTGGCCGGGACGAGGGAACTCGTTGGGCAGGGATACGCGTGTATCCGTACTCGGCGGAAACACGTGTGCCAGGGTAGGCCTCAGGTCGGACGACCCCTACTCCCACCACTCCTCAAGCTCAGCTATGTCGTTTAAGAGGCCTGGGGGCTCTGGAATCCGCTGTGAATGTGGGGAGCACCGGCTCCGAAGCAGCTCTTCAGCGAGGCCTCCTGAGGCTGCATGAGGAGGGGCACAATGGGGAGTCAAAGACCCGGCTGTTTCCCCCCCCACCCCGAACCAAGACCACTCCGACCCGCCCGCGGGCGTCTCAGCCAATCGCGGACCCTCTGGGTACAAGACCCACCCTCCTGTAAAGCTCCACACCGACTACGCCGGGCCACGCCCCCAGACAATTGCATAGGACCCCGCCCCCGCGCTCCAAGCCTCGCCCCGGATAATAAGCTCAAAATTCCAAGTCCCGCCCCTGAGCCCACGCCCCTCCTCTCGCAGCATCCTCCCCTCTGAGCCCCACCCCCAGGTAGAAGCCCAGCCCAGTACCTGGTGTAGGGGGGCGGAGGTGCGTCGTGCACCCCAGAGGCCGCCAGCGCCTGCTCGTAGGTGGGGAGACCTGGGGGTGGCGGTGGAGGCAGGGGCGTAGGCGGGCCTAGATTGTCCAGGGGACTCAGGGAGTTAATGAGCTCAGCCCTGGGGACAGAAAGTACACGGTTAGCAGGGGAGACCTACGGGACAGAGAGATTTAGGAGGGAAGAGCTAGGGACACAGAGATTCTGAGGGTGGAAGGGAGAAAAAGACGGGGGGAAAGGAGGGTCACCTTGAACCTGACCCTCCACACAGAAAAGCACCTCAGAACGACAGGCGGACAAACACGGACAGGTGGACAGACAGGAACTGCTGAGACATACTCATTCACAGGCACAAATGTGTTCCAGGTACAGGGAGAGTCGTGGAAAAAAAGACAGTCCTTCAGAGAGGCAGGCCAACCAACAGCGAAACAGACACAACACAGAGATACACCCGGTCACAAATCTCCCAGTGTCCCTTTTACGCTAAACTCTTCCTAAAAAACCCCAGACCCACTATACTTCCAAGACTGACACTCAAGCACCTTTTTAGACCCTGTCACTGAGAAAGACAGGCCTAGACAACTCATAAGGCACACACAAACATGTGTGACAGCCTGTCACCACGGAAACTGACATGCTGCAGACACCCAGAGACAGTATCTCTGCAGCCTCGCCAGATACAATATACATAGAGTGATAGTCACACATAAATCCGGTACCATGAAGACAGACTGAGCTCCTACTGTATGCCAGGTACTGAGGATATAGTCAGACAGACAGTGCAAGTGGACACGCACACTCTCAGACTGACTTTCCATGTGATAGTCTTCTCAGACCTTTCCTCCGGTGCCCACCTCCTGCGCGCAATCCTTGACCCATCTCCTCCTTCCTCTGCTCACCCTGCTCTCCAGCCCTCAAGCCCCTTCTCTCTGAATCCCCCTTACTCTTGGAGACAGGACTGCTGGCCTTGACCCCTTCGTCGGTAGTGCAGATACCAAAAGGCTCCCAAGCTGGCCAGGACAATGAGAAGGATGCCAGATGTCAGCCCCACAGCCAGGCCTGCTACATCCACTCGTCCACGCCCTGCAGTGGCAAAGGGGGGGTGGCACTGTGTCAGGGGCTGTCACCCATCTCAACAACCCAGTGCCTTCCCCCGGAGGGAGCGTACAGGCCAAGAAGCAAAGCAGAACCAGGGCCATTTCCTAGGTGTGTGACTCCAGGCAACTGAACGTGCTCATTTCTATAAGCCTCTGTTTGATGCCCTGTAAAATGGGAATAAACTCCTACCCCACAGGCTGTGAAATTCATTGAGATCAAACACATAAAAGGTGTAAGATAACTTCATCTAGGACTAGAAAATATGGCAGCTGTATCCTCATGGTGACAGAGGCTCCTTCCTGGACACAGTGTGGCTTGAGTCCCTCCTAAGCAAAATCCATCTGGGTAGGGAGCTCACTTGCCCCCACTCTGAGCACTGCCAGATTTAGCAAATAATAATGTATGATATCCCATTAAGTACTAATTTTAGATATACAATGAATCTTTTTTTTTTTTTTTTTTTTTTTTTTTTTTTTAGTATAACTATGTCCCATGGAGTATTTAGGATACTAGGGGCACGTGGGTGGCTTAGTCACTTAAGCATCCAATTCTTGATTTCAGGTCAGGTCATGATCTCATAGTTCTTGACTTCAAGCCCCAAATCTGGTTCCAAGCTGACAGTGTGGAGCCTGCTTGGGATTCTCTCTCCCTCTCTCAAAATAAATGGAGCCACCCCTCCCACAATACTTGCTTTCTCTCTCTCTCTCAAAATAAATAAATAAACTTAAAAATCATTTTTAAAAAGGAGCATCAGGGTAGCTCAGTTGGTTGAGCATCTGACTTCGGCTCAGGTCATGATCTTGTGGTTTACGGGTTTGAGCCCTGTGTCAGGCTCTGTGCTGACAGCTCAGAGCCTGGAGCCTGCTTCAGATCCTGTGTCTCCCTCTCTCTCTGCCCCTCCCCTGCTTACGCTCTGTCTCTCTCTCTCAAAAATAAATGAAAATATTTTTAAAAATTTAAAAATTGCTTTTTAAAAAAGAACATACTTACGCTAAAAAATTTATTCATGTGTACTTTTTTGTTTATTTATTCTGCGTGAGAGAGAAAGCATGAACAGGGGAGGGACAGAGAGAGAGGGAGACAGAATCGCAAACAGGCTCAGCACTGTCCAGTGAGGAGCCCAGCATGGGGCTTGATCCCACGAACTGAGATCATGACCTGAGCTGATGTCAAGAGGTGGACACCTTAACCCTTTAACTGACTGAGCAACCCAGGCACCCCTAGTCTTGTGTATTTGAAATTCAAATTTAACTGATGCGGAGAGGGGGGATGTCCTGTGTTTTATCTGACAACACTTGGTCTCTGGAACACCGTCCCTTTAGCAACCAGGCCACTGAGACCCAAGACCTCAACTCTGAAGGAGGGGGAGAATCCACAGGAAGGCTTCTGAATTTACCGGGCGATGAAAAATTCACTTATCGATGGGGGAATTTAGGGCCTTCCCCCCAGCAATAGATCATCGGGTATCTAGAATGCAGGAGGAGACTTTGGTAGGATCCTAGGCCTTTAGCAACCCAAGGCCCTGCTTCTGAGAAGCAGGCACACAGGGAGAACTCCAAAGCTCTGTGAGGCCTTCCTCGCTCAGTAAACCCCCTGGCGGCTTGTATCTCCTTAGCAAAGAAGGGCAAGAAGGCAGGTCCTCCCCATTCTGACATGTTTCAGGTGGATTCAAGGAGCGACCGGGCCTAGCGAGGCCTGCAGTGAGGCAGTTACCTCCCCTAGCAACCAGGCTCCAATGTGAGGGTTCCAGCAGACCTAGGGCTTGTTGCTAAGGGGCATCCACCCTAGCAACCAGGCCACAGGGAGGGGTGAGGCATCTGGGACGGGATGGATGGGGTTCCTCCCTGGGCAGTGGGCCTTGGGTCCTGAGCCTGGCTAGGTGTGGTTGCTAGGGAGGTCTCCTTAGTAACCAGGCCAAGGCTGGGATGGGGCTGTGGGGGAGGGGAAGCCGGCCAGGTAGTGAGTGCTGTAGGCTTCCTTGGTCCAGCCTGGCCAGGCCTCGTTGCTAAGGAGCAGTCCCCCCTTAGCAACAAGACTGCAGCCATGGTGGGGCCTTAGAACTCACAGGAAGGGTTGGGGCTGGGCGGGCTGGGCAGGTGAGGATGCACAGGCTTCTGATGCCCTGCGTGGTGTGGCCGGCCCTGTTGCTAGGGAGCAGTCCCCCTAGCAACCAACCAGCAAAAGGGCCTGGGGCTCTGGACTCCGAAGAGGTTAGCACCTCTGATCCTGAGGCCAGACAGGCCCCTGGGCTGTAACCCCTCTCTCCGCCCACACTTCCTCCTTCCTAAGGACCTGAAGCCTCCTCCTGTTAAGTGTGGTTGGTTCCTCAGGCAGGGACTCTAGTCTCAAAGGAGGGGACTCTTAACTCCGGGAGCACGGAATTTGCTGGAGGCACATTTGGGGTAAGGAATGTGGGTTCAGATCTCCACGGCAAGGGGCTGTCTTAGCTGCACAGAATACGAGGTTCCCCCCGTCCCCACTCACCTCCTTTGCCATTGTAGATGTAGCTCTCCCAAAAGCGCTCCTTGAAGGGGTAGTAGAGCAGGCGAAAAGACAGCATGTCAACGGGGAGAGTCCATATCCCCAAACCAGCCCATGCCCCGACTTCTGAGACCCAGGGTACAGGGACTTGGGGGCCACGACTTCCCAGGGCCTGGGGAGAGGGGCTCTCACCGTCAGAGTATTGTCCTCAAAATACTCCCGCGCCTCCTCCCAGGAACACCGCTCCTCGAGACACTCCCGTTCCAGGTTCCCTGGCGTGAGCAGCTCCAGGTCCCAGTGATTGGCTCGACGAATCCGGCTATGGCTCCTTAGAAAGCTCTGGGCTTCTGGGGAGTCTAGGAAGACTTCTGGGCCCCAAGAACATGAAACATAGAAAAATGGAGGGCTCCTGGGACTGCGGACCCGGAAAAACTTCAACCTCAGGGGATGGGAGAGCTACAGAGTGCTCAGGGAGGAGGGGGCTAGAGGCAAGGGTTCCTGAATCAGGGGAAGGTGAAGTCTGTGCCTGGACACTGGGTCTTCCCCCAGACACTCACCTGGGTCTTGCTCCCCACTGGGTGAGGCGTCCAAGCAGGTGGTCAATCCCAGGTACAGAAGGAGGAGAGAGGGGTAGCCCCTCATATTTTATGAACACCTGAAATGGGGTGTAGTGGAGACATCAGGTGCCTCAGCCGCTGGGGAATGAGGCCAGGTCACCCCAACCGGACTCTCACCCCAATTGTAATGAATTGTACTAATAACAGCAGACACTTACATAGGCTGGATCGTGGGCCAGGTGGTTCAAGGGAGTTTACCTATATCAACTCCATTTCGTGTCCACAGAAGTGCTATTCTTATCCCCGTTTTACAGATGAGGAAACCGAGGCACGGAGAGATAAAAGAATTGCCCAAGGTCATATGATTTGCAAGATTCAGCAGCAAGATTTCAGTGAAAGCAGTGTGTGCCTTCAGAGACTGGAGCAGGGAGCTTATCTTTTCCTCTACCGGGTCTGCAGCCCCCAGCATGAATTTTGGCACATAGTAGGTGCTCGTAAACATGTCTCTTGGTGATCAGGATTCCTTTCTTCCAGGTAATTTCCACCTATACTTGCCTCTCCCTATGCTCATTACCACATCCACCCACAGAGATCAAAGATTACGAGAGAGACCAGAACAGGAGAGGCAAAGAGTCTATATTCTTGGGTCCAGGGGGGCGAAGGGCGTGGGGGTTCTGGACTCCTGGGGCTGGGGGACCAGAACTTCTGAGTCTCAGAGGGACAGAGAACCAGGAGACCAGGGTCCCCAAGCCAGGCTCTTTCTCCAGGGGACATTCACTTACCTTCCCAGACCTGTTGAGCACTGTCCCCTCTTCTTTAATGGGGGCTTCCTTGGCCAGCAAAGGCCAGCAGTGAATGGGGGACAGGAGAGAGGGAAGGGGAGAGAAAAAGAGGGGTGCCCCTCTCCCTGTAATCAGACCGATCCAGGTTTCTGGCAGAGGGGCGGGGTTTGTGATTACCTGCCCTGGGCGGGACTCAGGTAAGGGACAAAGTATTTAAAGGGACCTTAGAATGAAGGGCCTAAGGTCCAGTGCCCTGTAGGGAAGCCAGGGTTCCCGACACTGACACTGGAGGCACTTAGGGGATTGGATATGCACCTCTCCTCTTGTTGGTCCCCTGGGATGGAAGCTTGCCTGGGTGAGCTAGGGAAATAAATGTCTAGGTCTCCAGATGCCTAGATATCTAGAAACTGGTGGGAAATGTATGCCTTGACCCCTGGTGGTAGGTGGACGATGCTGTAGTAAATTCTCGTTTCCTGAGGTGATTTGAAGGGCTTTGACTTCCGATTTCTCACTTGCTGTCCTTATAAACTGGAGACAGAGGAACTGTCCCTTCTCAATGGTCTCTCAACAGGCAGCAAGAAAAGTGCCTGATATACTTGGGGAAGTGAGCGTCCCGATCTCCAGATTAGGTGGTTAATCTTTCAATTCAGACTTGGAGAGACGCAAAGCCTGGACATAACCAGCAAATCGCCCGCCCTGGGAAACGCCTAGTGTATACTAAGCGTGCCCCATATTCATGCCAGTTGCACCAAGCGGAACCTCCGAGTAACTGCTCACGTTTCCGGAGGGACGGAGAGGAGACGGAAGGACTTACCAAGTCAGAACAGTATCTCGGCAACTAGGGGCAGCCCTACTTCCGGTTTTTTCCGGGCGGAAGTGGGCGAAGCGCAGAGGGGAAAACAGCCCTCCTTTCCGGTGTAGGGGCACAGTTGAAGAAGCAACGAAGGGTCGAGGAGTCGTTTGTGAGGTGAGTTCCAAGCGGTGGGGGGGGATAGTGTTGCTGCGATCGCTTTCCCGGGACTTCTGGGGTCCTGAGGGAGACAGGGACAGGATTTCGAATTCCCGACTCCCTGTCAATCATTAATAGACCACTCCAGGCGCCCCAAGTCTGAAGCTGAACTACATCTCCCGGCAGCCCCGGGAGGTAGCCAAGCCTCCGTCCGGCACTTTTCAAGTGTTGGTATTCCACCGGAGAGGGCTGCGGCCGGGGCTCCCAGGGAAGGAGACTGAGACTCCCGAGAGGGTCTAAGGAGTGGGACTTGAGGAAGAAGGACCCCCTTTCCTGGCCTCAGTTTCCCAGCTGTGACGGGGAGGGCGAGGGAGATTGTGCAGTCGCCCGCCGCCGCCTTCTCGCACCTTTTTGACAGCTCCTTCCTTCTCGGAGTTGGGTGTCCGCTTTAACCTTTAACCCTGGAGAGCTCTGGGGTCAGGGCGACCTGGGTTCTCATCCCGATGGTGCTGTTGTGTCCCTGTGAACTTGGGCCTCGGAGGGTTTTACTTTAATGTTTTATTATGAAAATGTTCAGACTCAGAAGAGAATAACATAAAAATCCCTATCGCCTATCGGGTGCCTGGGTGGCTCAGTTGGTTGAGCATCCGACTTTGGCTCAGGTCAGGATCTTGGGGTTTGAGGGTTCGAGCCTCCTGTCGGGCTTTCTGCTGGGAGCCTGGAGGGGGCTCTCCAGCTGGGAGCCTGGAGCCTGCTTCGGATTCTGTGTCTCCTTCTTCTCTGCTCCACCCCCCCCCCCCCAACTTGTACGCTCGCACACTTTCTCTCCAAAATAAATAATAATAGGGGCGCCTGGGTGGCTCAGTCGATTAAGCATCCGACTTCAGCTCAGCTCATGATCTCACCGTTTTTGAGTTCAAGCCCTACGGTTTGTGGGTTCAAGCCCCGCTTCAGGCTCTGTGCTGACAGCTCGGAACCTGCAGCCTTGCTTCAGATTGTGTCTCCCTCCCTCTCTGCCCCTACCCTGCTCATGCTCTGTCTCTCCCTCTCTCTCTCTCAAAAATAAACATTAAAAAATTTTTAGTAGGGGCGCCTGGGTGGCTCAGTCGGTTAAGCATCCGGCTTCGGCTCAGGTCGTGATCTAACGGTTAATGGGTTCGAGCCCGGCATCAGGCTCTGTGCTAACAGCTAGCTCAGAGCCTGGAGCCTGCTTCAGATTCTGTATCTCCCTCTCTCTCTGACCCTCCCCTACTCATGCTGTCTCTCTCTCTCTCTCTCTCTCAGAAATAAATTTTAAAAAAACATTAAAAAAATTTTTTTTAGTAACTAAAAATTTTAAGTAAATAATAACTTAAAAAAAGAATCCCTATCACCTAGGTTCACCAATTGTTAATATTTGTGCCATAGTGGCTTGGCATATTATTTTCATTAAATGTATAAGGCAAATCCTACCCAACATGACATTTAATCCTTAAATACTTAAGGATGCATGTACAAAAACTAGGGACATTTTCTTACATGACCACAATACCATTATCACACTTTACAAAGCCAATTGTAATTCTGGAATATTAACTACTTTACTACTTGGTCAATACTCAAATCCTGTGTCTCAAAATGCCTTACGAGAGGGGCACCTGGTGGCTCAGTCGGTTAAGTGTCTGACTCTTGATTTCTGCTCAAGTCCTGATCTTGTGGTCCGGCAATCAAGCCGCCGGTTGGGCCACCCAGGAGCCCCAATACTTCATTCTTTTTATGGCTGAATAGAATTCCTCTGTATGAGATAGACTCTATTTTGTTCACCCATTCATCAGTTGATGGCCTTTTGGGTTGTTTCCACTTATCAGCCATTATGAATAACGCACATGTTTGTGTGCAAGTTTTTGTGTGGACGGACCTGTTTTCATTTCTGTTGGACACAGCATTGCTGAGTCCTCTACCTTTAAGCTTTTGAGGAACAACAGACTTTTCCAGAGTGGCTCTCCCCAGCTCTCATTCCCACTCAGTGTGGAAGGGTTCCAGTTTTTCGACACGTGTTATGATCTGACTTTTTGGTTGTAATCACCCTAGTGGGCATGAACTGGTATCTTACTGTGGGTTTTTTTATTGCATTATTTAAAGTTTTATTAGGGTGCCTGGGTGGCCCAGTCGGTTAGGCATCAGACTTCAGCTCAGCTCATGAGCTTATGGTCTGTGGGTCTAAGCCCCACATCGGGCTCTGTGCTGACAGCTCAGAGCCTGGAGCCTGCTTCGGATTCTGTCTCCCTCTATCTCTGCCCCCCCCAAATAAATAAACATTAAAAAATAATAAAAAGTAAAGTTTTATTTAATTACTTAGAGTGTGCCCATGAAAGGGGGAGGGGCAGAGAAAGAATTCCAGGCAGGCTCTATGCTGTCTACAGGGCTTGATCTCATGAACCATGAGATCATGACCTGAGCCAAAACAAAGAGCCTGATGCTTGACTGAGCCACCCAGGCACCCCTATTTATTTAATTTTAAAGATTTTTTAAAATATAATCTTTTTAATGTTTATTTTTTCACACACACACACACACACACACACACACACACACAGAGTCTGAGCGGGGGAGGGGCCGAGAGAGAAGGAGACACAGAATTGGAAACAGGCTTCAGGCCCTGAGCTGTCAGTAGAGCCCTACCCAGGGATCGAACTCATGAACCGTGAGATCATGACCTGAGCCGAAGTCGGACCCCCAACCAACTGAGCCCCCCAGGTACCCTTATCTGTTCTTTTAAGTAATCCCTACACCCAACATTGGGCTTGAACTCATAACCCTGAAATTGAGTCACATGCTCCACCTACTGAGCCAGCTAGGCGGCCCTGGTTTTCTGATTCTGTCATTCCTCCTACATTTGTTATCTGAGCAGTTTGCTTTATTTTGAGCATGTCCATGAAGCAGTTGAGGAGAGTGACTTCATCAAAGTTGCCTTTTTGACATTTTTTTAAAGTTTATTTCTTTACTTTGAGAGAGATAAAGCTGGGGAGGTATGGGAGGGGGGTGGACAGAGAGAATCCAAATCGGGCTCCGCACTGAAAGCAGAGAGCCGGACTAAGGGAGCAAACCCATGAACTGTGAGATCATGACCTGAGCCAAAGGCAGATGCTTAACCAACTTAGCCACCCACGTGCCCCTTAAAGTTGCCTTTTGAAGTCTTTTTTATTGTTGTTTGTTTCTTCGTTTTTGAGACAGAGAGACACAGAGCACGAGCAGGTGAGGGGCAGAGAGAGAGAGAGGGAGATACAGAATCTGAAGCCGGCTTCAGGCTCTGAGATGTCAGCACAGAGCCCAATGTGGGGCTTGAACCCACGAACCACAAGATCATAACCTGAGCCGAAGTCAGATGCTTAACCATCTGAGCCACCCAGGCGCCCCTGCATTAGCTAGTATTAATAGAGAATCTCTGGGGTGCCTGGCTGGCTCAGCCAGAGGGACATATGATTCTTTCTTTATCCTTTCTTTCTTTCCTTCTTTCTTTCTTTTTTCTTTCTTTCTTTCTTTCTTTCTTTCTTTCTTTCTTTCTTTCTTTCTTTCTTTCTTTCTTTCATAAATTCTTTTTTAACGTTTTATTTATTTCTGAGAGAGAGAGAAAGAGAGAGAGCGTGATCAGGGGAGGGTCAGAGAGAGAGGGAGATACAGAATCCGAAACAGGCTCCAGGCTCTGAGCTGGCTGTCGGCACAGAGCCCGACGCGGGGCTCCAGTCCATGAACCGTGAGATCATAACCTGAGCCGAAGTCGGACCCTCAACCAACTGAGCCACCCAGGTGGAGGAGCATATGATTCTTGATCTTAGGGCCATGAGTTCGAGCCCCACATTGGGCGTAGAGATTACTTAAATAAATAAAAATTTGAAAAAGATAGAGAATCTCAGATGCTCCCTTTTGCTTTTAGGGAACTCTCTCGGTACCACTTACGTCCAGTCCTATTTCTGTCTGTGATTCCTTGAATGTAATCAGCTCCTTGGTTTCCTTTAACACAAGCTTTCATACCCCTGTAATGGCCTGACACACACCATTTAGAGGGAGGGGTTTGTAGCATTCTCTAGGTTCTCAAAGGGATCTCTGGCCCCACCCAAAGGTTAAGAACCACTGGGATCAGGGTTCAAACAAACCAGCTGTAGAAAAAGTTGGGAGGGAGTCAGTAATTTGAAGTCTTTTTTTGTTTGTTTGTTTGTTTGTTTGTTTCTGAGAGAGGAGGATA